TCATCACAGTTAAGCAAGATGTACAATGTGATAACTGCCATCTCCTTATCGGTCAAATAACACTAGTGACGTCGGTATAATTTCCGACGTCTAATCCGTCGGATATATTTCGTTGAGTTTAAATACGCCGGCGCCATGTCCGCCGGTAACATACGCCGGAATGGTTCCGCCGTAACGTGCGACGGAAATGGTTCAGGCATCCCTATACCGTCGGATTTGCCGGCGGAACCTGAGTCGGTGAATTTACGGCGTATTTTGCGCCGGAAAGGTTGACGTAAACTTTACGTAGAGCAAATCCGCCGGTACCTGCGCCGTTTATTACCGTCCAGAATTGTCCGCCGGAAAATCCGACGGAATTCGCGTGTTTTCCCGTAGTGTATGTGCTATTTCTAGTGGCAATTTGAAAGGGCATTTCTACTCAAGATGATGCAACATTAAGTTAGACTTCCGAGACTGCATTGCTCTAGAAGTTAAACATGGCATATAACTTGAATGTTGATGTTCAATGTGCTCATGCATTACACTCCTGTCAAAATAGAGCTACATTCATCATTACTCATAAGGATTTCCTCATGTAGCATAACATAAAAATGAGTTACCCATTGGCAGGTGATGACAAAATTTTTTACTGATGAATCATCATCCCTATGAATCAGTGGGTTCCAGTTTTATGATATTTCTTTTCCAATAATTTGTGTTTGAACTAGATTTTAGCTTAAAATAATAAGTTAGCTTTGGCCTTCTTTGTTTACCAGCCCATACACATTAATTTTACCTTCCTGTCATATTGGTGATGAAATGCATTTTTTGTTGTCGGATGCCAAAATAAATCTTGTTACTACAAATTCTTTTAGATATTCTTTCTTTTAGGCATGTATTCCTCTCTTTTTAATGGAGTTTTCATTTTATGTTGACCCCAATTGCTGGACGGCGGTGGCGCCGCACCTGCTATCTTTCTCCCACCAATACCATCACCATCACCATCACCGGCCACTGGATGCTACCATCGTTGGGTTTTACACTATATTCATTTTATTTCAAGTAAAAAAAGTAATAACCCACATTTATTTTATACTCATCCAAATAACTTCAAAATATTTCAATTACATTGCATTCTTTTGACTCTGCATTCCTTTTTCACAAAATCAAACAGCCCCTTAGTATATGGATCGAGAACCCCATTCCTCCAAGCTTTTTTGCAAATATATTTTATGTAGCTCGACTGAACACCAAAACGCTTTTGCTAAACGACTTCCTTTTTCTTTCTCAACAAAACTTTTTTGATCCATGCAATTTTATCCATACGAACTTACGAATTTTGCCTTTTTTTGTTCTGGAGTAATAAGAAATTTTATGCAAAATTGCTTTCCTCTTTTAGTAATATTACTGAATACACGAGTGGCATAAATGACTAGTCAGCCTATCGTTAGCTAGAATGATAGTTCAACTCACAACCCTGGGGTACAGTCCAGTATTTCTTTAATGAAATTGGCACTTTGGCATGCTATGATGTCATGTTACTGAATGCCATGCCCTTTGCAGTGATGCCTGTGAGATGGTGAAAATTGTTGATATCTTCCTTGCTGTAATTTCAATTACTAAGTTTTTTTTTTATTTGCTTTATTTGGCAGTCTTTAGTCACAGTTCTAGGTTCTCCAAGCGGTGCCAACACAATATACAACTCTCTCATTTTATTTCAAGACCTATTAGTGTCTACAACGCTTTCTCCTGTACGGTGGTATTTCCTATTCCTGCTGGCATGCTTGAGAACGCTTCAATTTTGCTTGATATTTAAAGTTACATATAATTTTGTTTTATGATTTAATTAATCTCTGTAGGATGACACAGCAAATTTATTTGCATATTGTGTTATGAGGTTGAGTCCACATGCTTTATCCTCTCTGAGTGTGAATTCCTGGTCCTATATAAGAAAGTCAAAGTCTGCGTCTAACGTTTCCACAGTCTCTGCTGTATGTGCTGCATTAGATGGGTCACATGGCACATCTCATGATGCTTCTCCTGGGGAGCAACCTAGGACAGTTAATGTACCGCGGCCTTTACAACGGGACAAATGGTCCAAAGGAGGTGATGGATTTCTTGTCACTGATGTGTGGGGTGTGGAAGTAGGTACTTCATTGCCACGAACACCAACACTATGGCTGCAGCAGACACATGAGCGTACATATCTTTGTGTTTATCAATACAAGAATCTGACAATAGTTCTCCTCATTCCCGTGTCTTCTTTAATAAATGGTGAACAAGGGATAGCTTTGGTTAAGAATCAACTTCTGGAAAATGTAAGCATCTTTTCTACAGTAGGTTTTTAATTTTTATCTTTTTCGCATTAGTGTTAATTTTTTTAGGAAAATGCAGTGTGATTATTTTCTTCGACCACCCTGCATGCGTTTGATGAAAGGCCTTTCTAGTTGAAGTATTCATGTTTTATGATCAATTTCTTTAAGCATCAACATTGTCTTATTATTATCTTTTTGGAGCATACATTCATACCTTACTACCGTAAGGGTTGGAAAAAAGTGCACTTGAATATTGTCAGTACAATTTTCTAGATGGCTACATTTTCCTAATTTTTTCTCATTTTATGATATAATTATGGTGTTGCTTGCATCTCTCCTCTTGCGCTTGGTTTCTTTCTTTTCTTCCCCTTCCCTTCATTTAGGAGGTTTGGCCTCACAGGCTGCGGTGGAATGTACCACCTACCTTACTGCCTGTGAGAGAGGGAGAGGGAAGGAGGGAGGGTGTATGTTGGCTGCTCCTGCTACAAGGTAGATACCACTGGAACCAGTTCAGGAGGGACTGGTTCATCCGGCTCAATACTTGGGCCGGACATTGGTTTACAGCAGGCGTAAATCTGCTGTTGTCCCCCCTAGTGGGTTCTACCCCCCTCATGTGGGGCCCACTGCTTAAGTATAGAGAGAGAGGAAGAGGGATTGAGAGGGAAAATTTGAATTAAAAGGGCTGTTTAGTTTTTTTTAGAGTTAATTTTGTGTGCTATATGTATGAGGTTGGAATTAGGGTTATAGTTATCTTGATTATTGCTGAAGATCTATGTTTCTTTGGTGTTCTTGGGCTCTAGTGGCGCCTAGAAAGTTGGGAGATAAAGATCCCGCTCTTGAATAGAGGATCAATTGTATCTTGGCATTTTCTTTCTGTTATTCATCAATTCCTACAATCTAATTGTTGTTTTTCCCGAGTTTGATTGGAGATTTGTGGTTAAGTCTCGCTGAAATATAGATTTTTATAAGATTTACTTGAGATCTACAAGGTTTCCTATCAAAATCTCATAAGCCTATTTTATGCTCCTCTCACTTTGAAGTTCTTTTTTTGGCTCTTTTTAGTTATTTGTTTCCATTATAGGGTATTGGATATCCTTAAAAATTTTGCGGCGTTGAAAACCTGAATATCTCATGAAGTTCAATCTTAAAGATTACTGCTAAGTTGAATTGGCGTTTTGCATTTCAATCTCTTGTTTTTTTTACTGCGAAATGCTTTGGTTGTTGTTGTTGTTGTGAAGTGCTTTGGTTATGCTGGGCTCTTCTCTCTAATTCAAGAGCCGGATTTTGAATTCAACTTAGAAACACTATATCGCGTGCCATCTACATAAGATCAACATATTGCAAAGTGTTAATTGATGTCCCGCTTATAAATTTTTGTTAGGTGTCGCAAAAGATTGTGAATATTGAGGAGAAATTATCCAGAGGATGGGGTGGAGAAAATGCTTATCATGTGAGTGGCTATCGCTATCTGCTGCTTGATGGTGATAGAAACATTTCAAGGGCTTCTCCGCCAGCCAAAGTCACAACTCTGAGCAAGGTTTGGTTGTAAATTTCTTAAGTTTTTTTCTATTGTGACATTCAAATTAATTTGAGTAACTTGCACCCTAGCATGCTTTAGCAGGTTCAAAGCTGTCATAATCATAAAATTTGACCCTGCCATAATTTCCCTAGTTTGATTTTCTTCAATAAGTAGAATTATTATGGTAATTTTGCATGTCTTTTACATTACTTTGCATTATCAAATGAGTCAAAAAATTTTGATAAGTCTTCTAGTATTGCGAAATTTTAGCTGCCATACCCAGATTAGTGGTATATTTGATTAACCCTTAACAAGATAAAGCTTGCTAATATAATTTATGAAATCTGTAGCATCCCACCTTATTATCCTCCTAGAGCATTTTCCCTCTCAACTAATATGTTATTGAAAACTACTTAGTTTTCAGAATGAAGGGCTTGGTGCTGGGTGATGGAGATTTGCAAGTTTATTCTCATTGGAAGTAACTAACAAATAAATGATATTAATAAGTTTAGTCAGTTTCGTTATTTAGTTCTTTTATTTTATAATTTTCAATTTCAGTTAATTTGGATTACACTTGTGCGGCTGTGACTATTAGAACCAGATGTATTAAATAATTGCTAATGTGATTACGAGAACAAGTTATATTCTTTTTTATTGTGATATCCTTAATTTGGTTCACCTCTTTTTGGTTTGGCTTTAGTGTATGGTGCATGCATGTGCTGTTGGTGTTGATTTGATTATGTCATAACGGATAAGACTTAATTGGTGAAAGATAACTCTTAATCACTATTTTACTGCATGACGTATCTAAAAAATATCATAATATACCAAATTAAATGTATTTTGGGTGGAATACCAACCGCTAGTAAAATCTTCGTCATGAACACTTTTTGGTGACCCAAAATCTATCGAAAAATGTTATTTTTTGCGCATTCTTGACAAATACACTCGTAGATTATTAATTACTGTAAAGTTGTCATAAACCTATATGTTAATATTGGCAGTAACCCCTTGCCACATTTTTTGGGGAGCAACATTTTCCCTATTAGTAAACAAATACAGTTTCTACATCAATTATAATATTTTGGGCAATATAACTTCCCTTGTGACTCAATCATTTTCTCATTGTACTATATATTTAAGAACAACTTGCTCATTTAAAAATGAAATAATTAAACATTTAAAATTAAATTTAATTAAAATGTAATGCTATATTATAATTATTACAAAAGATTGTTAACTTTTCTATTTTCTCTCATTTTGTTCACTCTATTCCAGTCTTTCCTCTCATTCATTATTTCCTCTCTTGTCTCTTCTTTGATCTCACTTCCTCTTTTGCTCATCTCCTTCTATTGTGGCATGTAACTGACTCATCATTTGTTCGATTGTTATATAGACATGTGCATCTCCATATTCATAGTAGCTGAATATCTCCTCAGCGATTGTTAGCTAAGGCGGATTCAAATTTATCCCTTTAGATAAATATTCATCCTAGGTCTGCAAGGTTCGCTTGGACGACACAACTTATGGTTGCTGATAAGGATCCTTCTGTCAGGTTGGTTCGACTATCTCCTCTAACTAAGTAAACCAGGGACCATGATGACCCGGGACAACGGAATCATAGGATCTTGATCGGGTTTATCATCCATTCCTCTACCATCCTCTTTAAGTGCATGATGGTGAAATTTTTCAATTTTAAATATTAAAAAAAAAAAAAACTAAACTCATGCTGCTACTATACACTAGATACTACGTATATGTTTGACGACTAGCCTTAATTGAAAGTTCTCTCTTGTTATCGGGAGGGGTAATTAATTATAAGGTGTTTGCGCTTATAGGAAACCTGAACTTAGATCTAAAGTCCTTGCAAAATGAGGGTGAAATCTCTTGGTAATGTCTATTTCAAGCCCAATCTATTTTCTGAAAGTTTGCCTCAGAACTTAAGCATTAAAACTCTCCACGATGACCCGAATAAGAAAGAAAGGGGTCCGCAAAGTGGCCGAGCGCAAATATTTTGAGCCCACATGAATGTAGGCCATTTAGGTGCTAAATCACATAAAAATATTTGTAGTCATTGCTCATTGCTTTAGATCTTTTGATATTGCACTTTTACTTAATTAGTAAAATGACAAATAATCTATTACCAAATAAAGTTCACGAGCTTATTGTTGATTGTTTATTTCTTTGATTTATTTGAATGCTTGGTGGTGCAAGAAGAAAAGGTCCAGCTTAGAAATATGACACTCAAGTTAAAGTGTCAAGTGAATATGCGAAGAAAGGGTATGTTTATATGAAATAAAATTTCTATGAGAACAGATTACTTGAGGTTTTAAGATGCTTAAGAATCACTTAGCTTGCACACATATCAACATTGGACCATGTGCAAATGTGCTTGATGAAGTGAAAAAAGTGTGATGATTATTTGAACAAGTTCGGCACTGTCGAAGAAGTGACACAAAGAAACCTGTGGGAGATGATTATAAATAACTCGTATTTTGGTTTCCAGCATGATTGATCAAGTGGTGGAAGCCATTTTATTTCTTCTAATAGAGGCACTCTGGGACCAATGGATATATTTGTGTTGAATGTTGATAAAGAGGAGAATATTAACTCGCAAATTATTCCTCCTCCAGCTGCTACGAAGGAACTTAGGAACAAATTATGTTTAGATATTGTTGTGTTCTTTTATGAAAATGATATTCCATTCAATGTGTGGTTGAAAAACATTTTTCTACGAACTTTAAAAGAAAATTTTATTTCGGTTCAACTTTATTATTAAGAGGGTTTAAAATTTTTAAAACTACCAATTCACCCCCCTCTTGGTAGCCGTGGGACATTTACTTAGGCTTAACAACCTAATTACTAGACTCAACAGAAAGTTCTCTCTTGTTATCGGGAGGGGTAATTAATTATAAGGTGTTTGCGCCTATAGGAAACCTGAACTTAGATCTAAAGTCCTTGCAAAATGAGGGTGAAATCTCTTGGTAATGTCTCTATTCCAAACCCAATCTATTTTCTGAAAGTTTGCCTCAGAACTTAAGCATTAAAACTCTCCACAATGACCCGAATAAGAAAGAAAGGGGTCCGCTAAGTGGCCGAGCGCAAATATTCTGAGCCCACATGAATGTAGGCCATTTAGGTGCTAAATCACATAAAAATATTTGTATTCATTGCTCATTGCTTTAGATCTTTTGATATTACACTTTTACATAATTAGTAAAATGACAAATAATCTATTACCAAATAAAGTTCACGAGCTTATTGTTGATTGTTTTTTTTTTGATTTATTTGAATGCTTGGTGGTGCAAGAAGAAAAGGTCCAGCTTAGAAATATGACACTCAAGTTAAAGTGTCAAGTGAATATGCGAAGAAAGGGTACATTTACATGAAATAAAATTTATATGAGAACATATTACTTGAGGTTTTAAGACGCTTAAGGATCACTTAGCTTGCACACATATCAACATTGGACCATGTGCAAATGTGCTTGATGAAGTGAAAAAAGTGTGCTGATTAATTATTTGAACAAGTTCGGCACTGTCGAAGAAGTGACACAAAAAAACCTGTGGGAGATGATTATAAATAACTCGTATTTTGGTTTCCAGCATGATTGATCAAGTGGTGGAAGCCATTTTATTTCTTCTAATAAAGGCACTCTGGGACCAATGGATATATTTGTGTTGAATGTTGATAAAGAGGAGAATATTAACTCGCAAATTATTCCTCCTCCAACTGCTACGAAGGAACTTAGGAACAAATTATGTTTAGATATTGTTGTGTGCTTTTATGATAATGATATTCCATTCAATGTTTCTAGGTTTCCATCATGGATTAACATGCTTCGATCTATTGGGAGTAGGGGTGTAAACAAGTCAAGTCGAGCTCAAGTTGGCCCAACTCGAGCTCGACTTGTGAGCCGAATCCTAAGCTCGAGCTCAAAATATGAGCTCAAACTCGGCATCCCACTGTAAACGAACGAGCTCGAGCCGCTCGACGAGCCTCCAGCGGTCTGGTCCGCCTTCCCTGAACTACCATCTCCCGCAGTCAGTGAACTGTAATGTTCCACGATCCGTTTCGCCTTCCGAGAACTCGTGACTTGCTAGCCTCCTTCGCTCTGCGGTTCATAAACTCCAACGTGCGGGATTTTTTTTTTGGAAAATACGTGCCGGATTTTGAATTCTCAAGCGAGATTTCAAAACGTGTAGGCGGGATCTTAAACTGAAGGTGGGATTTGAGCCATCTCGTTGGTTGAGCCTCATCAAGTTCAAACTAGAGCTCGTTTAATAAATGAGCCTCGGTTCACGAGCTCGTAAACGAGTCGAGTTGAGGACCTAGATGTTAGATGAGGTAGTTGAGAAAGTAGAAGAGACATTGGCAGATCAAGTTGTTACAGATAATAGACGTGCTTATAACGATGTAGAGAGATTATTAATGGAGATGAGGAAGTACCTTTATTGGACTCTATGTGCTACACTACATTGATTTAATGTTTGAGAGATTGAGATAGTTGACATAGCATCAATTTGTCTTGTTAGAGACAATGGATTAGTAAGTTCATTTACAATTACTCTTGAGTCTTAATTTAGTGAGAAAATTTACTGATAAAGAAATTATTTGGCCTGCTGTCATTAGATTTGCGGTAACCGTATATTTGATTTTGCAAAGATTTATGGATTGTATATTTGATTTTATAAAGATTTGAGTTAAAACAGCCCTTAGAAGTTATATTTGCTTCTAAAGGATGAGATAAAAGTTAATGAGTTAAAAAAACAAGAAGATAAATAAGTGAAGAAGATTGTTATGAAAGATGATTTTTTCTAGCGTAACATAAATTATGCTTTGAAGATTTCAGAACATTTAGTTAAGATACTAAGAATGGTTGATGTTAAGAAGACCCTAACAATGGATTTATTTATAAAGCCAATAAGCCGTATGAATAAGGGCTAAATAAGACATAACAAAAGATTTGGGGGGTCAAAAGATGCCTATAATGAAATTTGAAAAGTTATAGATCAAAAGTGGGACCGCCTGTTACACCAACACTTATATATTGTTGTATATTATTTGAATCCTAAATTCCATTATGATAAGGACTTTCATGTAGATAAAGAGATAAAAATTGGCTTATATGCATGCATGGATAGGCTTGTTCCTAAAGGTGACAACCTCAAAACAAATGATTAACTTAAGGATTTTTATTTAAAGAATAGAATGTTTGGCTTTAGAGTTAATCAAGCATGTTACAAAACATCTTTTCCCTGTACGTTTGCATTCATGTTTATGTTTAAGCTTTCTACTTGAATATATATTAATAATTCATTGGTAGACTCAATTTGGAGATGGTTTTCTTGAACATAAAGCATTTGCTGTTAAATTTCTTAGCCTAACTTGTATGACTTTTGCATTTGAGCGTAATTGGAGCACATTCAATCAAGTTCATTAAAGAGAAGGAATTGATTGGTTACAAAACGTATGAACAAGTTTGTTTATGCTATGTTTAAAATAAGTTGAAGGAAAAGCACCTCAAATTACTAATGTAAAGAACTATTGATAATGAATTGAATTATTTAATCGTTGATGACTTATAAGTTGATGATGAATGGGTAACACCTAGAAGTGTTGATGTTCTTGAAGTTGAAGGTGAAGAATAGATTTATGATGATGAGGATAATGAAGTAATAAATGTTGACATTGAAAGGCCTATCGTAGCATTTACTAAGTATATAAAAAGAAGAAACAAATTCAAGTTAGAGCTTTAAAAATATCTAAAGGTAATTTTAAATATAATGGATTATTTTTTTGTGTTATTAATTTGTTATTTTTTTATATTATATCTAATGCAATATTAACTAGTATAGGGAAAAAAAATATTATAGCTAAAGATGATTTTGAAAATGACTTAGACATAAACTATATGCATTCTTTTGAAGAATATCAAAGCAACGATGAGACTACCTTGGGGTCTTGATCCTCGGGGCCATATCTAAATTTTAAGTGAGTATTTAATTTGAATATAGTTTCAAACTTTTTTATTCTAATAATATTTACTTTCAAGCAAGTCATTATGTTGATGATTTATTTTATTTTTTTGTCATTTTTTTGAATTATTTATAATTTTTTTAGTTTTTTTTTTTTTTTGAGGCTTATGTCTCGCCATAGTAAGGCAAAATATCCTGATTCTCGATTTCGCCTTTTTGAACCTTGCACTTGGAAGAATTATTCTTGTTATTGATTAACTAGTGGTGTTAATTTGAATTGATGGATCGTATTGGAGATTGACCCAAATTTGACTTTAACCTGAAGTCGACAAGTTTATTATATGGACCAAAATATTTATATTGAACCCTTCTAACCCAAATTTTATCTGTCTAACCCATTTATTATATGGATCATGCAATTTTTTGGAAACATCGTGACTCAATTAACCAAAAAATAACCCGTTTAATCTAGTTTACCTGCCTGACCTGAACACAAATATTAATAGTGTCAATTTGTGTTGATTTCAGATTAGAGAGTCGGGTCATTATTGTCTCCCCTGTGTCCATCTTTGGCTAAGGCTCTAATTCAACAATCTTGAGAGTTGAAAGAAATGTTCCATGGAAATATCAAAATGCCAAGAATATGATTACATTCTTTGATTTTCGTTTCTTTCATTTTCAATAATTGAAAGATATGGCATAATTTTGTTGAGCCATTTTTTAATGTCAAACGGCGTATTTCGACATTTTTCTTGTCAATCTTGCCTTATGTAAAAGTACTACTAGAAGCCATTAACTTACACTTCATGATTGATGAATACATATGATAAAAAGCATCAATTACTTACGCTTGTTTCATTCAGGGTTGATATCGAGTAGAGTCGCGCAATGGCCTTGGAATCAAAGGTTTTGATTTTGACTTAACGGAAGTTTGTCGAAATGATTGATTTTAAATTTAGTTTCAAATTGTTTTGAGCCAAACCTATTAATTTTATTTAGTAATTTCTACCATCCCAATTAAATTTATTATACATTTATTTGTATTTAATAATTTTTTAATAAATTATATAAGGTTTTGGTATGCATTTCTTTATGGAAATGTGTTTGTTTTTATGTGTGTGCACTTGAAGATGCTTATATATGCATGTATGTGTAATACATTGAGGTTTTTTGGAGTTGAATTAAATAATTTCAAGCTATCCACCTTTGAGAAAGCCAATCAATTTTGATATTGAGTTTATTAAAATTTGAGTAATTATTCAGCGACTTTTGAGTTTTCGTTATAATTATTAGCCTCACTTTTATATGTTATCAGAAATGCTTTATTCATGTCAAAAATGGTGAGGTTGCTCTTGTCATGTAACAAATCTTTGTTCTCATGCTAAATTATCTCCCATATTGAAATTTTGACTCATTATCAATTAAATGAGTTTGGACCTTGTAGTGGTGCTAGCTGATGGGTTTGGATAGTTTAGAACCTCTTTCTACGATGTGAAAAGCCCATTAACGTTATGCAATCTATCTCTGTTTGAGCGAAAACTTTTATTTTTATCCTGTTCTATAGAAAGAAAGAAATGGTCTTGGTAAAAATGATCTGACGTTCTGCAGTGATTTTTGTTATTGGTTGCAGGATTCCTTGCTTGCTCTCAACAAACTTAGAGAAGAAGTTGATTTAGAGAAGAAAATAACAATGTTGGATAACCCCGAGCACGAGAAAGATTTTGAAGCTTGTATTAGAGCGAAAAACAATGCATGGGTTATAGCTAAGATTTCAAGAGGTAGAGCGCTTTACATGGCCTTAGAGAAGGCCAGTGAGACACTGATGTTTGCTTCTGATGCTGTAGAGAAATTCAGCAACAGGTATGCCATTTCTGTAGATGTCTTCGTATTACAAATTCTTCTAATTTCACAATGCCAAACAAATTGAGTGAGGGTTTTACCGTTTTAATGAACGTAATTGAAAGAAAGTTATAGGAATATGATAAACTCAAAAAGGATCACCGAAGTTTGACAGCTTGTTTTGTCTGCTCATTTTAGCTCTAAAGTAATCATCATCTTGTTTCTTCTTCTCTCTTCTTACCTATATTTGGCAAGCCTTGAGAAATCAGCTCATTATCTCGTTTGGGCTGGCCATAAGAAATTTTCTTTGTAATTCATTATTGTTAAGTGCTAAATATGCATTACCCATTAGGTCTCCCTCTCTCTTTTTGCATAATTTTAACCATACATCCAGTCTACCTTTTTCCCTTCAAAGTTATTTTACTTATAAAGATATCCATCAACTTTAGGGAAAATTTTTAGCTTAAACATGGTTAGCGACGTAATTAAGTGATTAAGCACTTTAAAAAAAAATTAAAATTAGACATAGTCGCCCCGTTGAACAGGTGATGCCCTCTTAAATTTTTTTTTTTTAAAAGCGGATCGGGAACCCTATTTTTTCGATACTTGCTATTTTTCTCCCCCATTCGACCGCACGAGAGAGGTTTTCTGCCGACTGTTAAGGTAAGCATGTTTTGATTTTTTTTTTTTTTTGTAAAATATGATCTATAAAATTGCTTAGGTTTTAAAGCTTGAAATTAAAAAAAGTAAAGATTATATTAAAATATGATCTATAAAATTCATATTAAAAAAAAAAAAGATGTGACAAAAAAGTAAATAACATAATGATAACAAAATAATAAAGTTGATATAAACAAAGCTTGGTAATGGAACAACACAACTTTGCAGCTCAAGCCAGATCTTTAAAATTATGCTTGTCACAACTATTTCAGCATAGATTTTAATGTGTATAACACTAACTACTCATAATAATAATGAAAGCCGTAAAGACCGACTTGTGTTGTATACTAATATAATAACAAGCAATAAGGATTGACTATAGCTCAATAAACTTATGGATGCTGAAGTGGGGATAACATGGCCGCATAATTAGATAAATGGGGAAATTTGATTACTATTTAAAAAAAAAAAAAAAAAGTTAGTCGCCTGGACTTGGTCCTCCATAGACAGTCGTCCGTTCAACAGGCGATTATGCCTATTTTTTAATTTTTTTAAGTGCTTAAGCTCTTAATTACATCATTAACGATGTTTAAGTTAAAAATTCACCCTCAACTTTATTGGGGCAATTATTTTTCTCTGTTGACAGAAATCTAATTTTTCTAATTGATATTTAAGAAGTGATATACCCACATACGTTTTAGTGTGATCATTTCTCATCATCCTTCTATGTTTATCACAACTCCGTAGTTAACATTCTCATTTATCCGCCACTCTTTGATACATTTCATATCTGCAGATACTGCGAAGGAGCATTTTCTTTGGACTGATGAGTCTTCTTTGTGACCTGAGAAGTTTGCATGGTAAGTTCTCTTGCTCATGTATGTTACTTATTTCCTCATAAGCAGAACCTCCAATGTCATGGAATAACTCTTACACTGGAGACAATGATATACCTGCATTTACTGTAATCTGGAGCCAATTATATATACTTGAGAATATTGGCTTGATTTTATGGATACAACAAGTAAGCATGTAGGGATTAGAAGAGGCATGTCATATATTGGTATTATACATTTACCATACAACATTTTTGTTTGTATAATAGTTATCTGGGGATATGCTTAGTAATATTTTTATGTCTTATAATAGAATTAGCATCAGTAAATAGCTAAAATCATTGGCACCCACTCTGTCCTCCCCCTGTGACTTTGGAACCTCATGGATGGAATTACTTTAGGCTTCGTTTGGGAAGGCTTTTTTACTGCTTCTTAAAGCTACTTTTTAGTATAAAAAATTTATACTAAAAAGCTGCTTTAAGAAGTAGTAAAAAAGCCATTCCAAATGAAACCTTAGTTCATTTGTTGTAGCGTTTTCTTTCATAAAACTCGAACTTAAGACCTCTTGGTTGATAGTAAAAAATCTCACTAACAGACCAAAATTAGTTGTGTATTAGTTGAATTATCTTCATTTATCATTGAAGAAAGGTTAGTTCAGATCTTTCTGAAGCCCAAACAAAGCATTCAGTTTTCCTTTCTAGTTTTAAATTCATATATATTTGCCCTATTGGGAAAAGAAAGAGCATTTGTGCTCAGGTTTTGTAGCTAGTCTGATCCAAGGGATTTTTAGGCATCTTTTTGTTTATTTGAATGCTGAACTGTTCACTGCAGATTGTGCCGGATTTCAAGCTGTTAATTGAATTTATTTTGCCAGGAATGCAATATTTTGATTGCTTGTTTACTTTTTTATTTTATTTTTTATTTTTTTTTTATTTTTTTATTATTTTTTTTTTTATTTACTTGTTTACTTGTTTTATTTACCTATACTCATCATGATACAAAGTGCATAATATTCTAGGGGTAAAGAATTATGAAGTAAAATTTATAATGATGAACTCCAAAGCCTTTGAATTTATATTTAGATTAGTGTTTGTATATGATATGTTGAATTACACTAATTTCAATATAAAATCACGAGCCTTGAAAATTTTTCTGATATGTTTTTGATATATTATCAAAAAATTATATTGATCAGGCATGAATCTCGAGGAAAAATCAAATTTATTTCAGGACCATTTAAGCTCTGATTTTGGCAAACTTATTGTTGAATTAAATATCTCGAAAATATGAACCTAATGATATCAAATTCAATCCAATATGAGGCCAAATGGATCCAAAGTATGTTTGGATGCTTCAAAGCATGAGTTGATGATCAAATGATTGTCAAATGTGACATGCTTATACTTGAATCAAGCGGCTTGACGAGATGAATCCAACGAGCCCCATATCGCTAAATTCTGATATCATTAAGACACTCAAATGTGCGATAAATAGTCTATAATCAAGGAAATCAATATCGGTCATTCATAAAAAAATACTCTCAATGTCCTTAATCTTTTTTTATTTACTAGTTATGACACTCCTAAAAAAATTTAAATAGACCTTCATTCTTCATAAAAGGGGAGAAAGAAGGAAAATAAATTTGAAATCTCTCTTGCCATCAAGCTACTTCTCAACCACTGTGGCACCACCAATTGTCGTCAGGCCACTGACCGTCGCCGGACTTTTGCCCGGCCACCAACTGTCGCCGGACTTCTACCCAGCCACCAACCGTGATCGAATTTATGTCCGGCCACTGACTGTCCCCAGACTCCCGCCCTGCCACCAGCCTTCGTCGGATTTCTACCCATCCACCGACCGTCTATGGACCTCTGCCTAGCCACCGTTCATTACTAGTTTTCTGCCCGACTCTTTCTATTATTGTAATTTCATCGTCCTCGAATTACAGGATGAATCAAGATTTGTAATTCATTCAAATATTAATGAAATCATTTGAATTGGGTCAGACCCCAAGGTTTTTCCCTTTTCCAGGGTTTCCATGTTAAAAATTTATGGGAATTTTCTAGGATTTACAATCTTATGTTCATGTGATGAATATTCGTGCAACGTTAAGACGAACCACTCCCTCACTCTATTATCACATATATTCTAGCCCGCAACAATTTTATATCAAGATATTCTAATAGGAGCAAAATTTGAAGAAAAAATGTATTAGGATTAGTTTAAATTTAATTTTGTTAAAGATTTGTAAATATAAATATATTTTTAAAAATGAAAGATGAAGTTATGATGTTTAAAAGTTAAGCGTTTGTTTGGGATTATTTATATTTGTATTTGTATTTGTATTTGATGTTATACATAATCTTTTAGACAAATCAAATTATTTTTAAAACACTCAAAATATTTTAAAATTATTTTATGAATTTTGAAAATAATTATTTGTATTGTCTTTTGTTGTTAGCTGCCGGCTCTCCTCTCTTCCATCTTCTAGCGCCACCTTCTTTTACCGGTCATTGTAGCATATCTTTCATCCATATTATTATTATTATGACTATATAAATCAAATTATTTAATATTTAATAAAAATAAAATATATTTTCAAATTAAAATTTAAATAAAATAAAATAGCAAAAACATAGAAATCTGAACAACCTGACAAAGGCAATTTGCTCAAATTACAAGTGAGAGATTAGGGTTCAACCTATCACAGGTAATTGAGAGATTAAGAACCCATAGCGTAACGCTAATTTTCTTAGATAATCATATTAATTGCTAAGAGATTCTGAGATCTCTCCATGTTGCGAAAATAAAATAATCACCTTTTGTTTTGATTGGTTTATCCTTACTAATTATATTAATAAATATTGTATAATCTTTTCTTAATTAATATAAGACTAATACACCACCGGGCTTAGCTGGGTTAGCGGGCGAGCATAGATGGGAATCCCCCAACCCATGTTCATATTCCCTCTCATGCCGCGCGACCTCTTAAGTGTGGAGAAAATAATTGCGGGTCCTGCACCTGTGGGGCTGGTTGCTGGTAGGCTCGCCCGGAGATTAGTTACACCAGCAAGTCCTCATATGAGGATGATAGCGGGTAGATACACCCGTTCTCAAATATATATAAAAGATTAATTACTCCAATTAATATAATGTATAATGATAATTATTTTAATTTTTTGAGCTTTCAATAAATACAAATCATCTCTTAAAAAGGGAACATTTTTTTTTTTTTCTGAACTTTCAATAAATGTTTCTTTAGAAAACAAAGAAAAAGCTCTTTTTATTTGGTCCGGTGCAATGACCTAGAGGAAGGTTCGGTTTTGCCTAAAAAAGTGCAAATACCGAGTTTTTTGAAAAAATGCCGAGTTTTTTGAAAAACTCGGTATTTGCACTTTTTGACCTATTTTTGCCTAAAATCGAACCTTCCTCTACATCCAGTGAAAGGACCTAATAATTGCTCCTCTCAAACGTTCGAAATAACCGAAAAATATGTGTTGGAAAGACTTTTTTTTGCCATTATTTTAATTATTTTTCTTTAAAAAGTTATTTTTTACAAAAGCATTTTTGTGAGCTTTTAAAAACAAAAACATAAAAAACTTAAATTGCTCAAATTAAAACTTAAAAAAAAAAACTCCAATTAATTTAAAATGAAAACAAAATTAAAAGATTTTCAAATAAAATTCAATTTAAATTATTTTTAGTGGTCCTAATAATAATGGAACCAAAAGAATATATGGCTCAAATATCCCATGAAAAGGACATCATTGACATGATTAAGGGGCCATTTAACTTCTAATACAGTGATTACATTAAATGCCAAAAGCCAAACTAAGAAAATTAATAATTATCACACCCTTTAATGCTCCCAAAGGATAAGAAGCGTGTGCCTTTCTCATTTGCACCCACCTTTGGATTTTTTAATTATTTTTAAGGGCCATCCATTATCCATTTGATTAGAATAAGATTTCATGCATGTACCCATTTGTCACATTTAATAATTTAAGATTCGTCAATTATGTGTTGCTATTGTATTTATTATGAAAATATTTATAAAGTCTAATTAAAATGAAATATCTTGGTTTATGCTTTTTATATATAGATGAAAATAGATTTTTTTATTAAGGATTAATACTTATGGATATATTTATAAAAAAATAAAATAGGGTGTAGAAGTTTTTTTTATTTATTTGTGATTTAGTTTTTGAATAAAGTGAAAAATTAAAATTATTTTAGTGGGCTTGAATTTAATATTTATTAATTAATATTTTTAAAAGATAATGTAATGCTTAGATGTGATATGTTTAAGTATTTTAGATTTAGTAAGGATGTGTTTTTTAGATTAAGATTGAGTAATTAAAATGAAAAAAAAAAGTGTTAGGAGTATCATATGAAAAGAGGATATCAAAATTTTTTATTAAATTGAAATTAGGCTGATAATATTGTATGATAATAATGTTGAATAGTAAAAAGTTATTAATATTAAGGGTATCAATAAATGACTTAACCTGGCAACTAAATCTGAAAACCCCAGATTCAGGTTGGCCTTTTTAAAACATGAGTGGGGTTTGGGTTTGGAATTTCAAACTGTTTATTAAAAGGGTCAGGTTCGGGTTGACTTACGGATTCACTTTTGCCTGTAAATGACTAGTTTAATATTTTTTCCTTAAATTCTTTTACTTGTAGGTATGATGTTCTTATTTTTTTATCAAATAACATAAACTTTGTAGATAATAAGTTATTAAAAAAAATTTAACAAAAAAGGGTCAATGGAGCGGGTTCAAATTTTTTTTTTTTTACCTGTTTATTAAACGAGTTAAGTTCATATTGATTGGATTCATATTGAATCAATTTTGAGTTGGAACCTAACCTAACCTATCAACCTATTTGGGCATCCCTAGTCAATATCTAAGTTGTGTGTGATATAAAAATTAATATTAAGATAAATGTTTTGCATAATTAAACATGATTAATTAAGTAATGATTTAAATGACATATATTAAAGATAACTTAATTGAAAATAGACTTAATGCTTTGAATGTGTACAACTTAACTAAGTAAATTTAATTAGTATTATGAAATTATAAAAAAAAAGCCGTAAACCTAAGATATCACATAGACATAAGTCGTTAAAAATGATTTACAAAAAAAATATATAAAACCTCAAGTAGCAATCGACAACAATGAATGAAAAAATGAATATTCATCATTTGGGCTCAAGCTAGTTTGAACTACAGATTATAAAGCCTCGCTAGATTTGGATAATTCCAAAGTCTTTTAACCTGATCCAACCCAATCCGAACCGTCCA